TTCCCCTTTGAATTGTCTTGGCATCTTTTCATAAACGAATTGGCCACATATTTTTTGTATATATTCCTGGACTCTCTTGTCTGTCTATAAGTAGGCCAATATCATAGTGCCTTGATTACTATAACTTCATAATAAGTCTTGGAACAAAGTAGTTTAATTCCTTCAACTTTGATTTTTTGGCTACCAAAACATTGTTATGGCTACTCTAGATTTTTGTATTTCCACATAACATTTAGAATTAGCTTGTCAATTTCTGCCACAACAAAATCCCTCCTGAAATTTTCAGTAGAATTGTATTCAATCTATTAACTTGAGGAAAATTGACATCTTAATAATATTGAGTCTTTCAAACCAAAAACATGATGCATCTCTTCATTTATTTGTCTTTTTAAAATTCTCTCTATAATATTTGGGTAGTTTTCAGTGTACACACCTCATGTATCTCTATGTGCTTTATATGTTTGATGATTGTGGAAATAATAATTACATGTTAATTTCTGATTATTTGTTGTTATTAAATAGACACATATTTAATTTTTGTATCATCTATCATACAACTTAAATCATGCAAAATTGCTAAGCTTCCTTACTAGTTATACTAGCTCTTTCTTTGTGGATTCTATCAGCTTTTGGGATAGATGATCATGTTATCTGAGAACAAAGACGATTTTTCTTCTACTTTCCAAAACTGAATGGATTTAATTTCTATATTTGCTTATTCCACTGACTAAACTTCCAGTACAATATTGAATAGAAGTGGTTAGAGGGTATATTCTTGCTTCATTCCTAACCTTAGGGGAAGAGCATTCAGTCTTTTACAATTAGGTATAGATTATATATATACTAGAGGCCCGGGGCACAAAAATTTGTGCACTCCAGTCTGGGACCCCTCAGGAGATAACGACCTGCTGGCTTAGGCCTGCTCCTGGGTGGCAGAGGGCAGGACACCCGATTAAGTGCAGCCCCTGGTCAGGCTCAGAGCAGGGCTGCTTGGGGAGTTGGGGCGCCGCCCCCTGTCATGCACAGAGCAGGGCGGCG